AAACAAATAATAACCTTTATTAGTACCTTGAGGGCTCATTCACACAGGCGGACAGTAAAAACAGAAGGCTGAGCTGAGGTATTACTGCTCCCAGACCTCCCACCTAACCCTAGGTTCACACCTAAGTGTTTTCTGCAGCGTTTTGCATTTTGCAGAAACACTGTACAGTCCATTTAACATGATTTCCTAAGGGACAGGTTCACATCTCCGCGTTTTCACCCGGTACGTCTTTTGGAAGGGGTCAGGACTTTTTTGAATGTTGTGTTTTTGGTTCTATAGACTATTATTATTATACAGGATTTCAATGGAAATGATGCAGAAGATTTTTAAAACTGAGCTATGACTTGCAGAGGCATGATGGAACTTGTAATATAAAAGTGTAAGAAGCGAGCGCTGACCCGTCAGCAGCTGTGCACTCAAGGTAACCAACAAAACCTTAATGAAATAAATAAATACAATAGTGCAGCGCTAAATTGATGATTCAAATTATAACCATAGGTGGAGTAAATAAGCAATAATATATGAGTGTACTTATGAGTATGAATATACTTAAAACATATACAGTGGGGATCAAAAGTTTGGGCGCCCCAGCTAAAAATTTGTATTAATGTGCATAAAAAAGCCAAGGAAAGATGGAAAAATCTCCAAAAAGGCATCAAATTACAGATTAGACATTCTTATAATATGTCAACAAAAGTTAGATTTTATTTCCATCATTTACACTTTCAAAATAACAGAAAACAAAAAAAATGGCGTCTGCAAAAGTTTGGGCACCCTGCAGACACATCATCCCCCAGACGAAGCTACTCAGTCCCTGTGGCGCAACGCGTTGGGGAGGGGCAGTGACGTCACCGCAAATCTGACACGGCGAGTACTAACAAGCGTGGGGTACACACCCTCTAGTCTGATCTTTACCGCAGACAGCGGCTCTGTTACATTGCAAAGCGTTATGTTGTTTTACCAAATGTGAGTGCATTATGGAAGCAAATAAATGGCTTAATATATCTCTGGGATAAGGCACTATTTCTTCTTTCTTCTTTACATAATACTGACGAGGAGCATTCAGTGATTGGAGCAAGGAGTGGATCAAAGGAGGGATTATCCCTCACAAGCATACAGGCTGATTGCAAAGCTGCAAGATTGAAGTATATCATTCATTGGAAGGAGAGTGTTATCTAATTTGGTTGGAACATTTCAGCACTTTTTGAAATTGGAACTTTGATTATGAATTAACATTGATTATTCCCTAATAATTTATATTCATTTGAATTTTTATATATTTTATATTTATCAACACTAGGTATATTGATTAATTAGAGTTTTTATTTTGCACAAGTGACACATCAATTAATTTAGTAATACAAATTTTTAGCTGGGGTGCCCAAACTTTCGATCCCCACTGTAGATGAAGATACATATGATGAGCGTCAATCCTGAACAATGTAAAATAACATGGGGCAAAGTGATCCGTAATGGTGACTAAATAGTGCCCTTAAAGTCCCCAAAGCTTCAATCGGTGCTTGTGATAGCGGAAGAAATGCGCACTCACCGGACGCGCAATAGTAATGCACGTTTAAATATTTTATCCTGATGTCATCAAGGTAATCATCTGGGCCAGTAGGTGGAAAGGCTCCCTCTCAAGGTGGATGGGTCCTGGGACTTTGATGTTGATGATCCAGGGGTGTCCAGAGTTCCCCTTAAGGGATAGGTGGGTTGATGGAACTTGTAGTCCTGCAGCTCTCAGGTTGCCTACCCCTGATCTAGACTAAGGAAGGACTCAGGGCTGTACATATGTTTTGCTTTGAGGTTGTGGCCATATTTAAACCCCGTCGCCTTCGCGTTCAAGAGAAAGGAGCAGCAACACAAACACCCTGCAACCGCCTGCGTTGCACGCAGTTGCGGCACAATAGTTTGGCCTGAGTTAACACGGGTTAGTAAGGACTTGACAAATCACCTCCTAGCTGCCTGTCAACCACCAACTCAAAAGCGATTTACTACTGATCACTTTTCAGAGTGGAAGCAAGGGCTGAACAAGACCTAATAGTCATATAGGCAAGAAAGAATAAAATAGACACGTGCCTAATAAGTGACAGATATTTAGATATCTGTGCTTGCCTCCTAAGGCTCGGCTATTTTTGTGTGAAATAAAATGATTACATTGTACAAATGGAGGAGAATGTCGGTTTCATTTTTTTTCTATAAACAACAAAAAAAATAAGATTATCACTGTGGGCCACCACAAGAAAATGTTCCAATCATCTGAATCATCTACTCACAGCATGACAGCAAATCTGATCCCTTCCTGGAGGCAAGTCTGCCCCACGTGTGCAAATGATTATTACTAATAATTCTCAGACCGCACATACTTAAAGGGTCAGTCCAGGTTTTTTTTTTTTTTTTTTTGGATAGAATGTAGAAGGGTTAGGGCTCATGTACATGGCAGCTGCTAATCTGAAGTTTAGGAGTTGTTGAGCGTTTTTTTTCAGCAGCCCCTGAACTCCCTAATGTTCTCCCATGTGTCCTTCAGATTGTAAGCTCCACGAGCAAGGCCCTCCTATTCCTTCTATACTGAAATGTATTGTAATTGTACTGTCTCCCTTATATTGTAAAGCGCTGTGTAAACGGTTGGCGCTATATAAATACTGTATAATAATAATAATAATGTGTCCATGTACACATTGTCATTTACAGTACTTTACAGGTAGTTGAGGTTACAGGCATTTTTTTGAAAGCACAAAAATCACGATCAGGCGTTGCCAAACGCTTGTAAACGCAGTTAACCGCATTTATAAGTGTTTGCGTTTAGAAGCATATCCAGGGTACAATTCACTAAGTGGTAACTTACTGCATCAGAGTATGCGGTAGGATACCACATAGCATTTTAAAGAAAAACCCCATTTGAATCTACGATAAAAGGTTACCAAAATCCCACGAGTTATTTTATCAAGTCATGAAAGCACAAAAATCGCGTTCAGGAGTAGAGTTTTCCGACGTTTCAAATGCCAAATGCTTGTAACTGTGTGTAAACGCTTGTAACCGCATACAAACGCTTGTAAACACGTTTATGCGCGTTTGCGTTTTTGGGCTGATCCGTATCCGGATGCTGTCCAGAGCCCTTTTTCTTCACCATAAATGCATGCGCAGCGTTTTCCATGCATTCAAATGGACCCGACACAGCAGTGCAGTCAGTTCTTGGTTTCGTGTGCAGGAAAAAATTGTAGAATGTGCTGCATTATTTCTGCACAGGACTGTACTGGAGCCAGGGGCGGACTGATCATTTGGGAGCTCAGGCACTGCCCGAGGGCCCAGGGTCAGTAGGGGGCCCCATGAGATGCCCCTGGTACCTTTCATAGGCTTTTCTGGGTGTGGGTTGAGTGTGGGCAAGGACACAGGGGCCCCATGATCCCCTATTGCCTAGGGGCCCCATGAGTTGCCAGTCTGCCCCTGACTGGAACACAGCAAAAAAGCACAAGGAGTGTTGTATCCGGAGGCATTACAGGACTATGTAGCTCCTCCCACAGTGCCAAGCATGTTTCACGAGCCACTTTTTTCTACGGATGCAACACCCATCAGAAAGTACTGCTCTCTCTGCTTCTGCCCTCTCTACTTCTCACAAGATTTCTGAAATAGTTAATTATATACTACTTTTCAGTGCATTCTGGGCATTTGGGAGGAGGAGATCTTTTAAAAACACTTCTAAACGCAAACACTTCTAAACGCGCGTAAACGCTGCTAAACTGACATTTTTGTTTTTGTTGTTTTTTTTTTAATTTAAACTTTTATTTGATTTTCCAGTACAAAAAGAACAACACATTTGCAAAATGATTTCACATATACATATTTCCATTTACCCCAATATTAGCCCCACCCCCACCCACCCTTTCACCCTTCCCCCAACCCATTTTCCACATCCACCTCCTCTTTCCTAAACTATATCTTCTCTCGTATTTATCAATCTCAGATGCTACTCTCTCTCGGATTCTCATTTAAGGCTGAGACGTTTTTAATCTACGTTTTCTAGCAGTTAGTTTCCAGCATTCAGAAACGGTTTTCAAACGCCCCGCGTACATGAGCCCTTCAAACCACCGTGATGTTTTAATTGCCGTTTGTTTCCTTAATGAAAAAAAATGTTTTGGCAATAGATATATATGTTTCAGTTACTACTTGCAGCTGATCTTGTATGTACATTTCTTTCATTTTTTTTTTTTTTTTGCTAAATTCTCTGTACCATTTTGTAAACATTTTCTGTATAATTAGTGCTTGGCTCTATCCATGCCTACCCAAGAGCCAGTTCAGACTCCATGCGTTTCAGTTGCTTTTTTTTCTGCATTCAAAACACACAGAAAGTAGGTTGCATTGCAGTGCTTGCTTGTGCTTGCAGTTCCAGTGCGTTCCGGTTGCAGAAAAAAAAAAAATAGAACAGGCTGCATTTTTCCTGCACTGGAACGCGGTAAAACACACCTGTCCCTATTTAATCTCCCTAGCGGTAGGATTATTTCAGATTTTGGTCCTGAAAGCGGTACTATTATTTTGCATGGAAATTTGGCGTTTTATATTGTAGGCCTGTAATTCTTAGGAATAACTCACTGAAATCTGTCTGAACAAGAGTCTAGTAAACATCCCGGGTATGATAAAACTTGAAACACAAAATCATAAATTATAATTTAATAAATAATCATAAAAATAATAATATAATAATAAATGTAATTCAATAATATAATCAAACCAAAAACACTGAAATCTGAAATATAGCGCCAAGTTCGCACATCACTGAGCAAAGTTGCAAAATCGTTTTCAGTGTCTGATGATGAATTTCCCCACGAATCATTATCACTCAATTCTGCAAGTGGTTCTGATTTACTATCGCTGTTCTCTAGCTGGTCTAAAACCACTTTTGACATAAAGGGACGCTTTTTGGACGCCATGGACATTTCTCAGTTTCCAGGCAATAAGAATAGTAAAAATGCAGGCAGGGCACAGGACAAAGCACTCTTGACAAAATGTATGTGAAATGGTTTGATACAGGAATGTTTTACTATGTGATTTTAGTGAATGTCACTTTTTGTCATTTTCAAATTTCCCCCCATTCCGTCCCCGTACGTCCCGATGCTCGCAGGGGACAGAACCCAGAAGACAGATGCCGGCATCTGCCAGAGGACATTACATTGCAGGGGGACATCGCGGGAGCGCAAGACAAGGTAAATGATCGAGGGATCGCGGAGCAGTGCCGTATGGTAAGCCCGAGTGTAGCTCAGGGTTACCGCTTGTGGTACTGAAACTTTACCCTGAGCTACACTCGGGAATACCTCCAGGGGGGTTAAACTGAAGAAAAAGAGAGGGAGAAAAAAATGTTCTGCACAGAACTGTACTGGAACGCGGTAAAATGCATCAAAAACATGCCGGAACGCACCAAAAACGCACTGCGACGCACATGTTTCTATTTAAATTGAAGAAAAAGAGAGGGGGAAAAAATGAACCAGAAAGCATAAAAAACCGCACCACACCGCACCAAAAATGGCATATGTAGAAACGCATCTGGACTGCGTTTCTATGGTGTGAACCGGCCCTTAAAGCAGCCATGGTCATTAAGAGCTTGTTCACACGAGCAGCTTGGAGCGGTAAAACCCTGTGGTGGAGTCACATTTTCACCGCTCCCCCTTTAGGGGCAGGGGTTGTACATATGAAATTTTCAGTCGTGATGCTTTGCTTAATGGCTGTGGTAGGAATAATACCCCTTGCTGTTTAAAATAAAATGGGCACCCCCGCTCTGCAAATTTTTGCATGTGCAAATGTATGCAGTTGTGGTATGCTAGTTTGGGGTTCAGAGGATTAAAGCATTAATGCTACAGATGTGTAAGGGTTTGTTCACACTTGTTTTTTTCTTTGAACCACATCTGGATCACTCTTCACCTTAGGTTCACACCTAAGCGTTTTCTGCAGCGTTGGAAATGCAGCAGAAAAGTATGTATTGCGTTTTTGCTGAATTTTGTTTTTTAAATCTGCCTAGCAACAAGAAAAATACAAAAAAAATAAATAAAAAAAACCTGTAAAATGCAAGTATGTAAGTACAGAGAAGGACAACCAAACTGATACGAGGCATGGTGGTCAGAAGCTATTGATGGTTATAGGAGCTCAGCTCTGAGGAAAGATTAGAGGAACTGAATTTATTCTCTCTTCAGAAGAGGAGATTAAGGGGGGATATGATCACCATGTATAATACATAAGGGGGGATATGATCTCCATGTATAATACATAAGGGGGGATATGATCTCCATGTATAATACATAAGGGGGATATGATCTCCATGTATAATACATAAGGGGGATATGATCTCCATGTATAATACATAAGGGGGATATGATCTCCATGTATAATACATAAGGGGGGATATGATCTCCATGTATAATACATAAGGGGGGATATGATCTCCATGAATAATACATAAGGGGGGGATATGATCTCCATGTATAATACATAAGGGGGGGGATATGATCTCCATGTATAATACATAAGGGGGGGGATATGATCTCCATGAATAATACATAAGGGGGGATATGATCTCCATGAATAATACATAAGGGGGGGATATGATCTCCATATATAATACATAAGGGGGATATGATCACCATGTATAATACACAAGGGGGGGATATGATCTCCATGTATATACATAAGGGGGGGGATATGATCTCCATGTATAATACATAAGGGGGGGATATGATCACCATGTATAATACATAAGGGGGGATATGATCTCCATATATAATACATAAGGGGGATATGATCACCATGTATAATACATAAGGGGGGGATATGATCACCATGTATAATACATAAGGGGGGGGATATGATCTCCATGTATAATACATAAGGGGGATATGATCTCCATGTATAATACATAAGGGGGGCATGATCTCCATGTATAATACATAAGGGGGGATATGATCTCCATGTATAATACATAAGGGGGGATATGATCTCCATGTATAATACATAAGGGGGGATATGATCACCATGTATAATACATAAGGGGGGCATGATCTCCCTGTATAATACATAAGGGGGATATGATCTCCATGTATAATACATAAGGGGGATATGATCTCCATGTATAATACATAAGGGGGATATGATCTCCATGTATAATACATAAGGGGGGATATGATCTCCATGTATAATACATAAGGGGGGATATGATCACCATGTATAATACATAAGGGGGGATATGATCTCCATGTATAAATACATCAGTAGTTCATATAGTGAACTCGGTGTAGAGTTATTCCCCCTGAGGTCATCACAGAGGACAAGGGGGCACTCTTTACATCTGGAGGAAAAGAAATATAATCTCCAAACACAGAAAGGTTTCTTCACAGTGAGAGCTGTGAAAATGTGGAATAGACTCCCTCAAGAGTTGGTTCTGGCCAGCTCAGTGGTTTGCTTTAAAAAAGTCCTGGATTCTTTCTTAGATACACAGAATATAACTGGATACTAACATTTATAGGTAAAGTTGATCCAGGGAATATCCGATTGCCTCTCAGGGGATCAGGGAGGAATTTTTCCCCTGCAGGAGCAGATTGGATCATGCTTTGCTGTTTTTTTTTTTTTTGCCTTCCTCTGGATCAACTGTGGGTATAGGATTATAACTTTTTTTTTTTTTTTTTTTTTTAATGGTTGAACTGGATGGACTTTTGTCTTTTTTCAGCCAGACTAACTATGTAACTATGCATCAAAAACGCAAAACGCAATGCAGAAATGGCTCACACACTGATGCGCTGCGTTTTCCCCCCCACACTGCGGGTGCTGTGCAGCACACCTGCAGCTTTCCTACAGGTTTGCGGTGTCTAGCCATGAACTTCTATTATATCCAGCTCGCTTGAACCACACCTGCAACCACACCTCCTCTGAAAAGCGATCCAAGTGTGTTTGACAGGTGGTGAGTAGGAGATATGTTGCCTCCTCACCACCTGTTTTAAAGTCACGATTGCTGTGCAATGTACACAATTGCAACATGGTAGTACGGCAATTAGAAGTTCAAGTCAGGTGTGGAGGAGGCAACACTGTGCCCTGTGATCTTTGACTCCTCCCATGTTGTTCAGGTAGATCTCCACCTCTTTAAGGTTGCCTACCACTGATCTAAACCCATTTCTTGTATGTGGGTTAGAGAGGCAAAAAATTAGGGAAGATCTCCGCATTCAGCACAAAGGTCTACCACATAGAGAACTCATGGGTGGAGAGGGAAAAAAAAGAAACCTCAGGGATTAACGTGGCAGAGGCACCCTTGGTCATGTGGTCTGACGGTCATAGAAGGATCGAAGTCATCAGAAGTATGGGAGAGACAATTATTGGTAACACCAAAGACATGTTTCGGAGCCAATACACCTCTTCATCAGTTTATCCAGTGTTTTACAGAGGTTCAGTGCCTTCTAGTTGCTTAGCAATCCTTGGCATGTATCTTGTGTGTCTATTCCATACTTCTGATGACCATCACACCACATGCGCCTCAGCTGCATTAACCACTGAAGGTTCTTTTTCTCCCCACCCATGAGCTTTACCCACCTAATATCTCTCCTGAGGACCTAGGGCTGGGTTCGCCAGTGGCATCGAGGGTGACCAACCACCTCTTGAGTTGATATTCTCCAATTGCCAAACTGGAAGGTTGCATTTACCATACATTTTGGTTACTCACAATCTAATGGCCAGTACACATGATAAGAACTTCCGAAAAAGGATCAATCGGCCGATTATCTGATCGTTAGTGTAGTGCTTTCGAAAGCGGATTCCAACTTTTTGGACAACAAAGCTAGGTGTCCAAGCTAGAAAATTTTTATCGTACATGAACACAGCATCCGATTTTCATTTGTTGTATACAGTAATAGTACGGAAATAACAGAATACAAAAAGATGCGCATGTTCAGAAGCATAGAAGAACCTACACTCCCTCATCTACTACTCTAGTACATAGCAATGTTTGCCTTTGTCTGCAGTTTGTTTACAAGTCAATACCATTACGACTACATCATGATATGCACTTTTCGTGTAAAATCGGAGGATCGGACGTCCGGTTTGCGAATAGCGTCTACTAGGCTTTAGCGTAGGTACTTTTCATGTACTTCATGCGAAATCATCACACTTCCAAAAATACTGCATATTTCCTAAGGCCGGTAAGGGTTCTCGTGTCTCTCTCCTTTCTATTCTCTCCCTCTCCGGTGAATATTGTTTTTTTTCTACTACACATCCTACAGAGGATTACCACCCTACAAATACCACATACAGAAGGCATTTACAATGTTTTATACTAACATCCCTGCCATATATTACATGGAAGCTAAATGTTTTGAGTCTTTTTTTAGATTTGGTTTCCACCCTGTACTCCTGACAAGGAACATGCTCACTCCGAGACGACAAGTTGAACAATCTGCCCCAGGCCAACCTTGTCTACAGTCAACTGGGAAGAACCTTCTCTCGTTATCTGGGTGGGCTTTCCGTAATCCAGTCTGACATATGGATGTCAAGCTTGGTAATGAATTTCAGAAACACAAATTTATTTTGGATGATTAGCTAATGAGCTGGAAGCTGCACATTCTTAATCTTACAAGGAAAAAAGATGGATGAATTTGCAAGACAATAAATTCTTAGGGCCATAGAGCAGACTTGTCACCAAGAATGATGAGTAAAAAGAGATGACCGTGTCCTTTTTTGGCTAAACCATTGGGATCCACTGAGAATCTACTTCTCTTTTTTCCCTGAGTTGTGCACCCTAGAACAGGGGTCTCCAAACTTTGGAAACAAAGCGCAAGTCCACTGCCCTTTAAACTTTAGGGGGGCAGTACTGTTGCCATTGGGATTAGAAAATGGCCTGGCATCGGTGGGAGTTAACAAGGCCGTAGGCTTGGTGCTCAGTGGCGGTAAAAAAATTATATCTTTGGTGTCAATGGGAGGAATAGTGCCCCATCATTGGTGTCAGTGGGAGGAATAGTGCCCGTCATTGGTGTCAGTGGGAGGAATAGTGCCCGTCATTGGTGTCAGTGGGAGGAATAGTGACCTACAATGGGAGGAATAATGCCCCATAATTGGTGTTAGTAGGAGGAATAATACCCCATCATCGGTGTCATTGAGAGTAATAACACCCCATAACTGGTGTCATTGGGAAGCATAGTACCCCATTATTGGTTTCAGTGAGAGGAATAGCACCCCATAACTGGTGTCATTGGGAAGAATAGTGCCCCGTCTTTGATGTCAGTGGAAGGAGTAGTACCTTGTATCAGTGGAAGGAATAAAGCCCCCAAGGGCTGGATAAAGGCAAGAAAAGGGCCACATTAGGCT